TCCCATCAGTCCCTCAGTCTGTTTGTGCAGTACTGAGGACTGGTTTTTAATCCATGTTCGTAGTGTTTGAATGGTTTCCATGTTGAACTGGAAGCATGAAAATTGGGAGGGGGAAAGAAACCTCCCTCTTTGTCTGTGGCGAGAGGAAACTGCATTCACAATTGCCAGGTATTTTGAAAAAGAAAATTACATTGGCAGATTACAATGTAATGAGATATCTAGCCTAGAGGTGCATTATAGAATGAGGGAGAGAGAACATAAAGTTCCCAAATGAAAGAACAAAGTTCTCATTTTCCAGAAGATAAAACTTTCTGAAGCTGTAGGGACAATCATGGGTCACTTAAAGTGACATGCCTGGACTCTGGAGGCATCAGATTGGAGAAGATCTCTGTTATACGACAAATCAAAATTTAATACTTTAATACATTAATACTTAACATCCTCTTCTTTACAGCTTTTCATTTAACAGTTTCCTCTTTTTATATCTCCTCCTTTCTAACTTCTGTTTCTGTTATCTAGCCATTGATAAAATTTATCCCATATCAAAAAATATTGTTTCTTCTTTATCCTTAATACTAAGTGTTAGTCTGTCCATTTCTGCACATTCTAGTATTTTCTTAATTACATCCCCCTTGGACAGAATCTTGTCATTTTTCCACTGTTGTGCAAATACAATTCTAGTTGCAGTTAGTATATGCAAAATCAAGTATATAGTCTTTTTATCATATTTTTTCTGGTAGAATGTCCAACAAAAATATCACTGGTTTCAGATCTATATGTTGTTTTATCATTTTTTTTCCAGCCATGTATGTATTTTCGTCCAATATTTTTTTTTGCTTTTAGGCATGGCACCACATATGATAATATGAACCAGTTAGTTTGCTCTTTAATGTGCCATGCAAATAGAAAATTTGGATAATTGAGTAAACCATGGGTCAGTTAACTATAAGGGAATGTATCAAGTGAAAGTAACATAATTAAGAATAGATGAGGTAGCAATTTGGCTGTAATTAACCCCAAACTTCCAAAGGAAAAAAACACACACACCAAATTTCAAACAAGTGTGCTTCAAGAAAGGTTTTTGGATGGCATTTCAGGATATTTTGCTGCTAGAAATTTAAAAAAAAATGAGGATGGCCCAATAACTTACATGGAGTTACTCAAGAAAAAACAATGTTTTGGAACTATAAAGCCCAGGGGTATCAAACTGGCGGCCCGCGGGCCAAATGTGTCACATGCAGGCCACACCCACCCCAGCACATGAAACATTAAGTGACAATAACATGATGCTGTGAGTTTGACACCTGTGATATAGCCTGAAAATATGTAGAATTTAAATAAAGACAAACCTGAACGGTTTGTTACATTCAAACAGCTCCCCAGTCGATGAACAAAGTGACGCTGTATCTCTTGTGCTTCCACCTGGAAGAAGTAAATGGCTGCAAGGAATTAGGTCTTAAATCTTGCACTTGTCAGCAGTGTGAAGTTGATGATGAATAGAGTGTTACAAATAGATCAGAATTTGAAGAGTTTTTTTAAATAAATTGAGTGGAAATGGCAACAGGTACTATAATGAGGATATGTTCCTGAAAATCGAGTCAATAGGTGAATTTGGGAGCATGGAAGAAGAGTTTTGGGGATTATTCTCCCTGCAAATGTCCTGGCCTACAATTTTCTCTGCTTAACACCCTATGTTTTGTGAATGTAAATTTGTGCCCGGGTTTGTCATATAAAGCCTGCAATTCTGGAAATTTTATCTGTATTTGTATTTGTATTTCATCTGTATTTCTTCTCTTTCTGAAGATGTGTCTAGCAGTGCTTTCACTGTATTAACACATGTATTGAAACTGAACCAGTGCCTTCCAATGAGCCAAGGTGGCACAGTGGTTAGAGTGCAGTACTGCAGGCTACTTCTGCTGACTGCTGGCTGACTGCAATTTGGCAATTCAAATCTCACCAGGCTCAAAGTTGACTCAGCCTTCTAGCCTTCCGAGATGGGTAAAATGAGTATCCAGATTGTTGGGGGCAATATGCTGATTCTGTAAAACCACTTAGAGAGGGCTGTAAAAGCACTATGAAGCGATATATAAGTCTAAGTGCTATTGCTATTTTGTATTTGCAATATTTTCTTAACCAGGTTTAATGATGCTTAATGCATATACTTGAACATTGGTTGGGTTTGGGGGGGGGAGTGTATTTGTGCAAATCCAGCCATTTAATTGATGTATGAACCCAAGAAAGAGTTAATTCAATAATTAATTTAGAAACAGGAAAATAGCTTCTGCTGAAGGTTTCAGATGACTGGAAATTCATTATTCAAAGCTGAAGCTTTGCAGCTGTTAGACATGATTGGGCTCGTACAATGGACAGAGTCAAAGTTTGCTTAATTATAGCTTACAAGTGAAGGCAATTATAATTATATAATTAATATAAGGTAATTATAATTATTAGAGTTTACTAATGAAGGTAAACTAATAAAGGTAATGAAAGCAATGAGAGCCAGTTTGGTGTAATGGTTAAGGCATCAGGCCAGAAACTGGTAGACTGTGAATTCTAGTCCTGCCTTGGGCACAGAGTCAGCCCTAGGATCCATTTCTGAAAACCCTCCCAAGAAAATGGATGGAAACTAATCAAGGAGAGAAGCAACCTGGAACTAAGGAGAAACTTCCCAACAATGAGGGTGGAAATTTTGATAGTTCGGAGAACCGGTAAATATCTGACTGGCCCCGCCCCCATCTATACTCTCTGCCTCCCGAATCCCAGCTGATCGGGAGGGAATGGGGATTTTGCAGTAACCTTCCCCTGCCATGCCCACCAAGCCACGTCCACAGAACTGGTAGTAAAAAAAATTGAATCCCACCACTGATTAGCACTAACAAGATTACAGGTACAACAAATGTCTAAGTGACAGTTGGTTCTTTAAAATCTCACACTTCCAGTGACGGTCCCTGTCTGGATGGCAGTTTAGAGAACATCCCTCATTATCTGTTTCATTGCCCATATTATTTGCTGCATGTAATGTACTGAATAGAGAAGAAAATTATTCTGGCTGAAATCCCATAAAATTACATTGTTATGGAAAACACAGAAAATGGCTATCCTGTGTATGTTGGCAGGTTTTGCTTAAGTCACGGTTGACTCTCATAAACCCTTACCAATAAAAATAATGATTTTACTCTTGCAATCATTTTTATGGTTATTAACTTGACTTTATATAATTTTACATCTAGTTCACTAAAGTGTTTGCTGTTTTATAGCATAGCTGATAACTGTACATTACCTATCCATAGGCTGGAACAATATGTTAACTTAAATTTAAAAGGTACTAAAAGACAGAAAAGTCTGTGACTTTTACTTGGTGATCAGAACTTGCACCTGTCCAGATGTGTTTTAGTGTTGATCACACCGGCAGGACCTGCTAGAAGCCGCTATCATCTGGAACACCATTTACTTCTGCTGCTTCTAGATCACGGGTGCCAAACTCGCCATGTCACATTGCCGTAACGTGACGTAACACAATGTTTTTTTCCTTCGTGGAGATGCGCTGGGCATGGCCTGCATGTGATGCATCTGGCCCGCAGGCCACCAGTTTGACACCCTTGTTCCAGATCAAATTTTGAAATGACAAAATGAAGCCAGCTTCTTGGCTTTGTCCTTGGCCAAAAACAAGCCGTTATTGGTACATTTGTTTGTTTGTTTATTTATTAGTATGTCAATCGTGTACAGGATAGCAGGTATAAGTATGAACATGGACGTCAACAAAGGAAATGAATACAAATAAATGGGGACAGCAGGACAGGGACGGTACACACGCTGGTGCTCTTATGCACGCCGCCTTTACGGACCCCTTAGGAATGAGGTGAGGTCCATGGTAGACAGTTTAAGGTTGAAGCTGTGAGGGTTTGAGGACGTAACAACAGAGTCAGGTAGTGCACTAAAGGAATTGACCACTCTGTTGCTGACATCGTATTTTCTGCAATCGAGTTTGAAGCAGTTTACCTTGAGTTGTATCAATTGTTTGTCTGTGTATTATTGTGGTTGAAGCTGAAGTAGTCATTGGCAGCTAGAACGTTGTAGCAGACAATTTTGTGTATTATGCTTAGATAAAACCAAAGGCGGCACAGTTCCAGATTGTCCAAGCCCAAAATTTCAAGCCTGGTGGCATAAGGGATTCTATTGTGAGTAGAGGAGTGACGTACTCTTCTCGTGAAATACCTCTGGACCCGCTCGATCGTAGTAGTAGCCAACACACCAGCAAATGGGCCGGGCTCTGTGGTATTTCCATATTCACACAGGATATTGTTATCCCCTAATAGCCTTCACTTGAGCATATTAGTTTTATATTTAGGTGCTCTAACTCTCAATATATTCAGGGTCCTCCAAGTAGTATAAGGGAGGTCAGATCCTTCAGCCATATCCTCCTTTAATTTTATTCTTTGCTCGATGGTCTCCTTCCTCCATCTTTTAATTCGATTTTGTTCTTGTGTAGCCTCAAGGATGTTTGTTCTTTCCATAAAGATGTAAAAGTACAAACAAGATTTGTACTTCTGCTGAATGAAATACAGTAGCTTTTTCCAGATCTCTATCTGATGCTAAACTTCTATGAGGAACAACAGAGTTCCATCCTTGTTGCCACCTCTTCTGTCAACTCTCAACTTTTGGGGGGGGGGCAGAGAGGAGAGGAGTTGGTTTTAATGGATGGGGGATTTGCATGAATATTCCCTGTTCCGCTCAAATATATTTGCTCCTCCAAAAAAGGCTTCTCAATCAGTCCTTACAAAAAACATCACATTCTTAACAAGCTTCTGAAAACACTAAGATAACTTGAAAATTGGAAAATGGGTGGAAATCTCATTGCCAGTGAAACTATATAGCTTTTGAAAGATTATTATGCACCATTTCCTTTATTAGATTCCCTATTCATGCAACTAGGTTTGCGTGTCTGGCAGTTTATTAGTTCCCTGATGGATCACCTTAATTTATTCTCTTTTATTTGGCAGCGCACTTGAAGAGATAGGAACCAACATCTCCACACAAGAAAGGCTCTGATGGCCAGCAACAACACCACCAGCATAGCACAAGCAAGGAAGCTGGTGGAACAGCTCAAAATGGAGGCAAATATCGACAGAATAAAGGTAAACACCATTTAGCACTCTAATGGGATTATTCTAAAGAGGTCTTGTACAAACCGATGCCCTTCAGATCAGTGGTGGGATTCAAAAAATGTTAATACCGTCTGGAGGTGTGGTGTGGTGGGCGTGGCAGGGGAAGGATACTGTAAAATCTCCATTTCCTCCCGATCAGCTGGGACTCGGGAGGCAGAGAATAGATGGGGGCGGGTCCAGTCAGAGATAGTATTTACCAGTTCTCCGAATTACTCACAATTCCCACTACCGCTTCTCCAGAACTGGTCAGAACCTGCTGAATACTACCTCTGCTTCAGATGTATTGGTACCCACTTGCTATCTTCCCCAGGCAGAACTCCCTTTATTTCTTAGCTACAAATAGTCCTTGACTTACAAGCATTTGCTTAATGACCACTCAAAGTTATGACAAAAAGTGACCGACAACCAGTCCTCACTCAATCGTCGCAAGTCTCTGCAGTCACATTATCAAACTTTTGAGCATTTGGCAATCAGCAAATGTTTACAACGGTTGCAGTGTCCCTGGTCATTTGTGATCTTTCCACAGAGTTTCCAACCCAATGATGGAAGTCAGATTCATCTAACCACCACACGATTTATTTAACAATCTCGGTGACTCACTTAATGACTGCGTCACTTAGTGACAGAATTCTGGCCCCAATTGTGGCCAAAAGTTGAGAAATCTATTGAAAAAAGCGCTCTGAAAAAGATCTGAAAGGATCTTTTCATGTGAGAAAAAAAATGTATTGCAGTAATAAAGCTATTTGTACGAAGTGTTGAAAGCACATTGGTGAGTCAGCGGCAAGCGCTTGGGGATAAATTAAGTAATCCCAAACTCTTCTGATCTCAATTTCAACACTGAAATTACTTTGGATGTTCCATAGATGGTCTCGGTTAAGACAGCAGACTGGGATTTGCTTTGATTTTGCAGGGTCTTTTGATACTGCTGGCCACACATCTTGTGGAAGCAAAGCATAGAGATGTGAGATGGTTCCACCATTTATCTATGGGGTGAATCCCCAAAGATAGCCTTTGGGGTGATAGCTCTATTTGTTGCTGTGGCACTTATGAAATAAGGTCCCGCAAATTTCACCTTTATGTTTTTTCATATCCGTATCAGTGGTGGGGTCCTGATCCCGTCGCAACTGGTACGCTACGAAAAATTATGGCTGGGGAATTCTGGGAGTTGAAGTCCAGACATCTTCAAGTGGCCAAGGTTGAGAATAGACAATTGAATACCTACCAAACATTTCAACTACCATATTTTTCAGACTATAAGACACACCATGATTTTGAAGAGGTAAATTTTTTTAAAGGTTTTTGCACTCTGCAGGCCTTCTAAACCCTCTGCACACCTCGTTTTTTGCCAAAAAAGGGGGGGCATACAGAGCTTTGGGAGGCTTGTAGAGTGCTCCTGGGGACTGGGGGGCAAAAATGAGCAAAAACGATCCATTTTTTGCTCATTTTTGCCCTCCCCAGCCCCCAGGAACACTTTGCAAGCCCCGCAAACCCTCTGCACATCCATTTCTGCAAAGGGGCCAGGGTTTCAGTAGGCCAAAAATGCTGTATTCAATGTATAAGACGCACCCAGATTTTCACCCTCTTTTTTGGGGGGGTGCATCTTATAGTCCCAAAAATACGGTATGCTTAAAGGGCCGTTGTAGATGAAACTCAAATCACCTAACAGATATCAGGCTATTACTGCATTCTGCTCCTAAAAGATCATGAGTATAGTCAAGGGCTGGTAATGTGCCCTTCCATCAGAGGCCTTGTAGTCCCTCCTTCGTATAGTTTAGGGCAGCAGCCCCCAACCTTTGGGGCATCAAGAACCAGTTCAATGGAGAGAGTTTTTTACGTGGGTCAGAATTTTTGAGGATCGACGGAAGGACGAGACTGGAACCAGGACTGTCAGAACAAGCAGTTTATTCACGGTAACTATATACAGGCGATTCAGCACCTTCCCTGCTTGACAGCTATTTAAACGGAGCTGTCAAGCAGGGATAGCCAATGAGCGCGCCCCTAGCGGCTAGCAACAAGCGACGCCGCGCCCTAGCCAATCAGGGTGCCGCTTGGCTTGTTGCTAGCCGCCAGGTCGTAAGTTGAGGACTTTCCGAGTCCTCAACAAGAATGGTTTCTGTTACTGCCTGCATCCTACGAATGG